CAAACTCAACACTGGCGCCTAACGTGCTTTCGATACCCTACGAATCCGTCGTTTTATACATAGAAACCACGAACGAAACTCAACGATACCACCGTCGTGATATCCGACCCCGACGGAATCATAAATGCCCTGACACCGATGCAACCAGAGAAGATTACGTCACCATATTCCCCAAAGAACCATACGCGATAGATCCCAAAACACCATCCTACCAACTGCAACTCCAAATCGTGACCACTATCACCAACCTGCCCCAAGCCGTCAATGACCCTGTCAAAGTGATCAACCCCCGAACCCCACTTTTCTCTGCAATAGGATTCCTCAATTCCATCACTGAGGTTGAGAAAGAACTCTCAAATCCCCCGACCCAAAGGACAAACCGTAGCGACTCCGATCAAGCAAGCTCAATAATTTACGAGGAAGAACCCGCAAACCCGTCAGAAACCCTTCCCGGGGGTATCAGATTTTAAGCGGGGAGGAGCGTAGAAATCTCACAAAAAAACCGTTTTTTTTATCGCACACTAAACCTTATTTTTTTTTATATATCTATAAATACATTCCCTTTTTATACCAACCATCCCCCCCCCCAAGTTTTTTTGTAGGATTAAAATCCGCCCTGACCCCGCGGTACGGCGTATGCCGTTATTATTTTTATTTTTGGTTTGTTTATATGCTAATTTAAATTCCGCCCTGACAACGCGGTGCGGCTATGCCGTTTATTTTGTTAGACTTTTTTTATAAGCCTAAGATAATGAACTTAGGATTAAATTCCGCCCTGACAACGCGGTGCGGCTATGCCGTTTATCTTGTTAGACATTTTTATGAACCTAAGGTAATGAACTTAGGATTAAATTCCGCCCTGACAACGCGGTGCGGCTATGCCGTTTATTTTGTTAGGCATTTTTATGAGCCTAAGGTAATGAACTAAGGACTGAACCCCGCTCTAATCCAGCGGTACGGCGTATGCCGATATATTATTTTTTTTTCTGGGTTGTAAAAGAAATCTATATTTAAGCCTGCCATCTGCCCTGATCCGAAAGGTGCGGTGGTAGTAGAAGTTAAGCGGGGAGGAGTGTTATGTTCAATCTCCCCACTCTTCCCGTATAACTTATTTCTTTCTTTACGTTTTTCTCCACTTGTTTCTTTTATTTTCCCATCTTCCATTGTTTTTATGAAATTGATATTATACCATATTTTCATATTGTATTTGAAACTGGTTCTAACCAGTTTCAAGAATGATTGTATCGCGATTACATAAGAACCTTTTTTTTCTCTCTCTTTGTTTCAAAAATTATAAAGGTTGGTGAAATACCTATTTTTGCACGATATTCTTTTTTTTAGTTTTTATTTAATAGATTATTAAAATATTCTTTTTTTGGATTTTGTTTAATAAACTTTGAAAAATATATTCTTTTTGTAGTTGCTTAATAAACCTTGAAAATATATTTCCATTACGTTGTCCGATTGATTCCATGACAAAAACGATAAAACCCGGCCCCCTCGATCCCGTCATCGACCATCCAGGACCCCCGATCACGGACTGTATTTTTCCCAATCTGCCGAAGGGACCCATTGGTCCAAACTCAACAAATTGTATCTTCATATGGTTTTTAAGTTCTTTCTATAAATCCTACCCTGAATTCAGACTCATCACTATTTTGCCACGAGTATACAAGAATATTTGCTAACTGCGAATGCAAGGTTATACATTTTTATAATGTAGAATTAAAATTTGTGAATCCATATCTTAAAAGTTTAGAATTTAACATATGTTACAGCTATCTTTAATAATCACTTTGCATATTTTTATAAAATTTTAAGCAGGATAAAAGGAATAACGATTATTAAAATGAAAATATCGATTTGTTTTTTGTTTGGACTGTAATTTTATTTTAACATGTTAACAATTTATATTTTTGTCCAATTGCGTCAAACAATTCAAAAACTTTAAAAATAACGATTATGACTATTGTCACTTATCTAGGGTATATCTTCACTGAAATATTATTTTAACATGTTAGCAATTTATATTTTAGCCCATTTGCTTCAAAAAAATTAAAAAAACTTTTAAAAAATAACGATTATGGCAATTGTCACTTTTATATGGTACATCTTCATTTTTAACTTGACATTTTTACAATCTATATTTTTACCCTTTTGTATCAAAATATTTCAAAAAACTCTAAATACAACGATTATGACAATTGTCACTTATCTATGGTACATCTTCATTGATATTTTATTTTAACATGTTATCATTTTCTATTTTTGCCCATTTGCTTCAAAAAAATTCAAAAAACTTTAAAAATAACGACTATGACAATTGTCACTTATCTAAGGTACATCTTCAATGAAGTTTTATTTAAACATGTTAGCAATTTATTTTTTTGCCCATTTGCGTCAAAAAAATTCAAAAAACTTTAAAAATGATTATGACAATTGTCACTTATCTTGGGTACATCTTCACTGAAGTTTTATTTAAATATGTTATCATAACTTATTTTAACCGATTTACGTCAAAAAATTTAAAAATAACGATTATGATAATTGTCACTTTTATATGGTGCATCTTAATTAAAATTTTAATTTAACATGTTAAAAAAATATATATTTTACCGTAAAAAAAATCTAATATGTTTAAAAATACCGATTATGATAATGGTTATTTTTCCAAGGAACATCTTCAATAACGAATATAAAAATTATCAGATTTAATTATTATCCTTAAAACGATCATATAGATAAATAAGTTAAATAAAAATATTTTTAAAAAATATTATTTAGAAAACCCACTTCTTTTAATATACTTAAAAAATAGATAATTTTACAAAAATGATTAAAAAAACTAAAAAAAGATTTCACCTAAAAGATTGTTTATTTATAATAAAATTCACAAAAGAATTCCTCAAAAAAGATTTATTTACAAAGAAGATTTAAAATTTTTATCAAAATATGTTCAAAAATCTTTTTAAACTTCAAAAAATATTTTTTGCTTAAAATTTTGGTCGTGAAAATCACTAATAAATTGTAACAAAAATAATATTACAATAGTAGTATATCATTTTTTTTATTAAAAAAATATCAAATAAAAGAAATTCATCTTTCATTTCATAATATAATAATATAAATAAAAAATATATATCATATAATATGTTTATTTGTTGATAAATAAAATATTAATATTAACATTAAATATAAATAAAATAAATTATTTTAATAAAAAATAATAATAGGCCGCGCTATATTTCGCAAAATAGTTTTCGCTATATTATCTTCGCGATTTATGTTTCGTGATATTGACTTCGCTATAAAATTTTCGCGATTATTGATTAGCGATAAAAATTTTGCTCTAATGTATTCGCTTTAAAGGTTTTGCGATAAGAGTTTCGCTATTTATAAAAACTTTCAGGTTTTTCTTCGGTGAATGATGTGTAAAGACATATGGTAAGATGAATTTCGGAGCTTAGAGATGACACCCCGGTCACCGACAGGCCTGGACAGCCAGGTACTAAGGAAACTTGTCTAATAAACAAAATGAAGGAAACAAATGAAAATATGAATATGAAAGCTAGGGCGTTCCCTCCAAGCGACGCGCAGCGTGTAGACCTCTATCCTGCGAAAAGTAAAATAAAGGTCAAAGCAAAGAAGACAAGGTTAGCAAGTTTGAATATTGGGACACTTAAAGGTTAAGCCACAAAAAGGTTCCCGGAAAATATATAAGAATAATACAGGATATGTATATGGGCCATACAACAATGGTCCGTAGCACAACAGGTACTTCAGTAGGCTTCACAATAGCCGAAGGAGTTCATCAAGGGTCGGCTCTCAGTTTCTCTTTATTACAGTAATAGATGTATTAGCACAGTCTATACCTCAAACAGCCCTGTGGAATATAATATTTGCAGATGATATTGTGATACTTGCCGAATCCAAGGATGAAATGAAAGAAAGATTAGTGAGTTGGATAAATATCCTAGAAAAGCACAAGTAAATAGAGAAAAGACGGAATATATGGTGATAGGAGGAGATGAACAGATAGTATTGATATAAATGAATGGCAGATATCGGCAATTTAAAACTGCAAATATTTGGTCTCCACTATACAAACAAATGGCACAATAGAAAAAGAGATAAAGAGTAAAATTAATCAAGGGTAGTTAAAGTAAAGATCTTTATCCGGAGTGCTATTTTAAAAAGAATCCCACACAAATTAAAGGGAAAAATTTACAGTTCCATAGTATAACCAACTATTCTATATAGTTCAGAAACATGGTCAACTAAGGAATCAGACGAGAGAAGTCTACAAGCTATGGAGATGAGAATGCTGAGGATGATTGCTGGGGTAACAAGAAATGATAAAGTGCGCAGTACAAGAATACTAAGTAGTTTAAAGGTAGTGCCCATAAGACGTAAACAGACTTGGGTGTTATGGACACACAATGAGAAGGCCTATGAACTGCATAGGAAATAAGGTTGAGAGTTTGGAAGTGATGGGCAAACGTAAAAGAGGAAGGCCAAAACTTCAATGGGGCCATAAAGTTAGAGCCAATATAAAAAAGTATAAATTAGATAAAAGAGATTTTATGAATAACATAAGGTGGAGAGAGATGTTGAAGGAGCTTACCACCAGAAAAGGTGAAAGCTAAAGAGAGAAAAAAATAATAAAAAATAAAATTGGATGTTGAGCATAGAAGTCTATGATCGCAATGTAAATTTGAAATAACACATAACTTATATATTTTTAACTGAAATAATTAAAATTTAGATATATATATATAAGATTTTTTTCAAGCCTCATCTTCATAGGCGTTTTTTCTAGAATATTATCCAGTAAGCTTAAGAGATAAGAGAACTTTCGTGCTCTATATTTTTTTCTATAAAATATTCTTAAAAATTGTTTTAAATATATTATTATTAGGAAAATCAATATTAATTTGCTACATTTATATTTATCTCTAGTGATATCAGTGCAACATCGAATATTTATATTAATGAGAAACTTGTTTTTTGCAAGGTAACATTTTTTTCCAAGGAGCAAAATTTTCTGTACATACTGTTTCAAAAGGTATAATAGCCCATTTGTTCATACTTTGGCCGGAAGAATCATTGATAAAATCGCTTGGATCAATTGTATAATAACGGGCTGATGTGCCTATAGATGTGCAAAGCATACCTGATAATAAATTTGTCAAGGATTCCCATTCTGTTTCGATATCTACATTAGATCTTCATAGTCAATTTAAAAATAAAATATTAGAGAATAATGAAATATTTTTAATTCCATAAAAATATTGAACATTTTTAGTGCTGATAAAGCTACTTTTCAAAAGTAACTAGTTATATTTTAAAAATACATTTCCCAAAAATGTAAACAGCTACAATGCATAGCTACCAAGTTGAAATGTAAGTTACGGTTTCACGAATCTAATAGTTATTAAGGGTGTACCTAGACATGTGCGCCGCCGGTCAAACGCGCCGCCGCCGGTGATTTTTAACCACGCCGACGCCGCCGCCAAAAAAGTGTCGGCGCTCAATACCCCGCCGCCGATGTAAAAATTTGGCGGCGTGATACAATTTTTTATTATTATAAATAACATTTATTTTATATATTATTTATGAATTGTAATTAGAAGAAAAATATTAAATATTTTTTTAATTATTAAAAAATGCGATTTTATTTTTTAAAATTAATAAATATTATTTGTATAAATTTGATTTGTAACAATCCATAAATACACGTTCGCTCACTTTGGGCAGGTCTGTTAGATAAAATATATTATTGCAAATAGAAAAGATATTGATATTATTCTATATTTTATTCTTTTAATTTTCGATGCTTCAAATATTTTTAATAAAACCATAATGCAATTTACAACTCGTTATATAAAATTTATTTTTTATCAAAAAAGGAAATTTTAATTAATCATTTTTATTTTGTTGCCATTATAACATATATAAAAATAGCAGGACTAAAACAATTATAATGGATGCAGTATTGCAATACCCTGTAACAAAATATAGTATATGCTTGCAAGCAAAGTCTTCTTTTGCATGGAAACATTTTGGATCCTTAATATTAAAAACTGACACAAATAATAAGAGAACCAGTGTTGCTACAGATAAAGTCTTTTGTAATATATGCTTGCAAATATCCCTTGATAAAGATGGTGAGAATGAAAAAAATTATTCATTTTCAGAGTAAATTTTTTGATTATTTTAATTTGTGAATTTTTTAATTAATTATCCAATCAAATCTTTTTCAAAAAATATCAGCACATCAAACATAATAAAACATTTACTTGACAAACATGACTTAACATGTAAAGAAGAAATATCTAAACCAAATTTAAAGTTATTTTCAAACCCATTGTAAAAGATACAATTGACCCTATAAATGATAAAAAATGGGTTCTGGTAAGAAATTATGCTCATGTTGTTGCAAGGATTTAATGCCGTTCTTTTCTATAAATAATACTGAAATGCAAGATTTTCTAAAGGTTATTTGTAAAATCATTAAATTTTTTATAGGGCAATCTTAATTTTTATTTTAACTTTTAAGATATTTAATTATTTTATGATAGAATATTTAAATAAAACTGAAATCATCCCACATTTAGAATTTTTTATGGCATAATATTTTTATTATTAAGAAATATGGCATTATTTCAGATATAAAAGATTTACCAGATTGATCAACACTTAGCCGGAGTGGATTAGATGATGTGAATTTATCAATGAAAGCATACATATGCCAGCAAATTAATATAGGTCTTAAATTTTGTGCTATACCTTTTGATATGTGACCGACAAATATAGAAGGCGAAATTATATTACCTTTATATTTCACGAAATAGATAATATTTTTAATATTATATTTTATACATAGGCGACACATCCTGTCACTCAAAAACATAACGCTGAAACTATTCTTTTCGAGATAGAAAAAGTTGAAAATGAATTTGATTTAGGGTCCAAGAAAATTCGGTTACGGATGCAGGACCCAAAGTTAAGAAAAGTGTTCGTCTAGGAGAATATGACCATCATTTATGTTTGGGGCATGGATTACATAATCTAGTGACAGTCGATGGAATAATAAAAGTTTAAAAAATAGAAAAACTCATTAAAAAATGAGAAAAGTTATAGTTGCCTTAAGAAAAACAGCGGATTTTGAAATATTAAGGATATCGAAAATAGAAAATGTTTTGAATCGATATCATATACATCGGATATTTTAGATTTGGATGATAATGATCCTTTTTATGAAGATCGTTTGGGGTTTAATGATGGATGATAGTGCAAATCAAAAATCATATGAGAAAAAACATAAAACCTTAAGTTGGCATAGTATTTTAATAATGATGGAAAGTGTGACTGGCAATAACAAAAATACTATAAATATTCTATTACTCAAATTATTTAACTCCGATTGGGACTTGGTGCATGAACCTTTAAATTTTCTTAAAACCTTCAAAAAAACTGTTGAATTTTTATTTGTCCAAAAAGGAGTTACTATAAATTTATCCTTATTATTATATGATAGTCCGTCCTCCCATAGCATCCCTTAAACAAAATATGCTTATTAAATTGATCAACCGATCTTCAGGTAGTATTTTAAAATAAATAAATTATTTTTTATATATTAATTCTCTTTGTTTAATTTTTGGTGTTAGGAGCACTTTTGGATCCTCGTTTTCAATCTATACACATAGTAAATGAATATTTAAATGAAAAAGAAATATTACTCCGGTGCAATTTTTATGTCAACCCGCTACCTCTCTACGGCCTTACATGGATGAATTAAACGAATGTGAAACGACTGAAGTTGCTTCAAAACTCGATTATCTTAAATCCTTGGCTACGAAACATTCATCTATTCATAACAATAACCTGGAACAACAAGACTATTTAACTAGTTTAGAAAAAGAGTGTTATTCATTATTTTCGCCTTATAATTTAGAGATAAAAGATGTCTTTGATTTTTGGAAGATAAGAACATTGGATCTTCCTAAACTTTCAATATTAGCTAGCCCAGTGCGTTCTAGCTATTTATCTTATCTTTCATTTATAAGGATAAAATTTTTATCTTATCTTTCAGTTACTACATTTATAATCCTTTGATATTCACTGTTCAACAAATTATTACCGAGTTAATATCTTGTGAGCATTTTTAATGCTGTTTTTAAAGATTGAAATAATTTCTTCTAAATACATGTTGCATTATGAAAAATTTCGAAATTATCAATATATTTCATTAAATTATTTTTTCAAAAATTTATATTAGTTGAATTAAAATTAGAAGAGGAATTTGGCCTTACCCTACATCTAATCCTACTCCTTATCCTTATATCAGTTATTATTAAAAATTTTAAATATATTTCAATCAAAAAAAAATTTCCTTCCGATGAACATTTCTAGAATTGTGCTATTTATTATCGAAAATGAACGCATATACAAAAACAAAAAACAATTATGATATATGAAACAATAGGAAAAAATGTTTTTCCAATATATGATAAAAATCTTGATTATTTGATCAAAAAAATAAAAATTGGGGAATCTATAGAGGAAATTACGAGGCTTCCCGGCGGGGACCCCTACGTTACATCCCTAATCATTACCCAGTATAATTCATAACTATTTAGTTTTTATTTTTATTTATAGCAAACGCTTAATCTTTTAAAAAACGTTCTGGTATAGCCTAATAATTATACTATTTATTGAATTGTATATATCTATTATTTATCGTATAAGATAATCATAGTATATATTATACATAATATTATATTTTCATTATATAAAATTTAATATTATATTTTTCCAAAGATTTTATTTTTATAAATTATAGTATTAATTATACAAATAATAATAATAAGTAAATGCACCAATTAATGAAGAAAATTTAATATAAATTATTGTATTGTAACAAATTTTAATAATCGTATAAAATGGTTATATCTTTTTTATAAAAATAAAATAGGTAGATGAAATGAATTTCGAAAACATATGAGTTATCTCTATATATTCAAATTGAATTTTTTATATAAATATGAAATATGATTAGGATCACTTGAGAGAATTATTTTTGATCTATTAATTTTTAAGAAAATTTAAATTTGAGACCAAAGTATCTTAGTGTACTAGAAATAAGAGGTGTAAATATGAATATTGATGCAAATTCTGAATATTCACTTATCTTAATTTTTCGGCTAAGTCGACAAGATCCATATTTAATGTTTAAGGAAGCCCGGTCCCCCTGGAATGAAATGAAATACCTGTACTTTATTGTTCTATATTGCATGACCTGACCTGAAGAATTGGAGGAAGAAAAGAAATGTCTACTTTCACTATAAACTAGTAAGAAACATCTAGCGCACTGGTGTATCAGTGTAATATTGCATGTTAGTTGAAGATCTGATGCAATCATTAAATTCTGATCACTTGACGGCATCTCTATACACTGACTCAAGCCAGTGATAACTATTTTTTTTATTTTGCGCTAAAGCTAGCAGAAGATTATCGTTGGGATAGACTCTCCAATATTTTACCAAGTAATACATTAATGAAATGCTTAAATAGAGGATTTTTGTTGATTACTGGAAGGGGTCAAGATTGTCCCCATTCTATTAAAGACATACAGAGAATCTAGTAGAGAAATAAGTTGTTTCACTATATGCTCATGGGCCCCTCTAGACTAGAGAACGCTAGCTAAAGAAACTAATGAAGGAGTAATAAAGCCTAGTCCACCAATTTTCGTAAATAAGGATGCCAATTACGAGCTGAATTCACTAAATATGTTTTTAGTTATAGATTTATATTTTATCGCGAAGATATATTATTTACGTTGTTTTATTTTTTATTTGTCGCGTCCTCGAAAAGGGTAAAAAAAATAATAAATAGAAGAAATTGTTTTTTTTTAAATTTTTTAGTCATTAATAATTTTTCCCAATTTATTACCGCTTTGAAAGAAAGTTTTTAAAAAAAAAAAGTTTCGGAAAAAAGATAAAATTTATTCCTCTCAATTTTTTTAAAAGAAAAAGAATTCTAAAACAAAACAGATAAATATAGTTTTAGAAGTTAGAGTAAATTAAGTGTAGTAATTTTTATACTTAAAAATAGAAATTTAAGAGATTATAACGTTAACATTCATTGAGTTGATAGTTTTATAACGTTAAGATAATTGAGTTGATCATTTGTTATAACTTCATTGGTACCGTGATAACCCTAAC